TTTATTTTGCTTTTCTAACTTGTCTAATGAGACTGTGAAGAAGGCTTATCAAATGTTTTCAAGCCTGGTTTATTTTTGTTATTCCAGTTTCTAGTTCAATTTAGAAATAGTGGTGGTGGGTTGTTACTTTGGGTTGGGGTTTTTTTCACCCTGCAGTTTTAGAGTTACTCAACACTCTACTAGTCCTGTGAAATTGAGATCAGTGGATTTTGATATTTTTTGTAAACTTTTTTTTCATAGAAAGTTCTTTGGGGGAATGAGCAGCAAATTAGCATTATTCTACATTTCTTGGCATTGTGAGATTGGCCATTGTTCTCTTTTTTTTTTTTTTTTTAACCAGGAACCACAACCACAAATTTGACCATCAAAGGGCTTGTGCCCTGCACTCAGATGACAGACAGTATTTGATTTATAGCTATTCTGGGTTAGGAATTTCAAAACAAATTTCTTTAATCTGGAGGAAAGAAAACCACTTTTCACAGAATTGAAGTTTCTTGAATCATTGGATCAAAGCTCCAATTCTCTGCAGTACTATTTTATATGAAAATTTAACATTAGGCGTTAGGGCATCTCTCACTGTCTTTTGCCTTAAAGCTGCTGGACTGTATGTTCAAATAACCTGAATTTTAAAAAGAAAATACAGGCAGTTAAATCAATGTATTCCATCTTTTTCAACTGGTTCTTCAGTTTCCCTTTCAAGCTGCAACCCACAGCTCTTGTATTTCCAGTTCTCTCCTGCTCAGAAATATTTAATAACTTGGAGGGCTAAAGAGGAGAGGTTGCTGTGTTTGTAGTGACACAGTGAGAGGATTACAGATGTGTGTTCTATGAGAGTGCAGGAATACTCTGCATTTTGTGTACTTAGCCAGGTTTCCTTTTGGCTGCAGAAACTTCTAATAATGAATATTCCACAGTGGTGCGAATACCCAAGGCAACGGAGCTGGAGTGGATTTTTACCCTGAATGAAGAGGAGAACGAAATTGTACGCAGTGAATTTTATTATGAACAGGTGAGGTTTGGAGAAAGAGTTCTGTATAAGCAGTTCCTTATTATGAACAGGTGAGGTTTGGAGAAGGAACTGCTTATACAGAACTCTCTGGAGAACTACCTCAATACCTATATTTGTCTGTCTTTCCACATTCGTCAGGCTCCCAGCTCTTCCTTGTGTATTGCCATCCTCAGCCTGCACAGTGACAGCATAGTCTGTGGCCACCAACTGATAGAGCACTGCTGCAAGTTGTCCCAAGGGCTCACTAATCCTGAGGTGGATGCTGGTCTCCTTATGGACATCATGAAACAATTGCTCTTCAGTGCCAAAATGATGTTTGTAAAAGCTGGAAGGAGCCAGGATCTAGCTATCTGTGACAGGTGACTTATCAGATGTTCGAGGATGTACTGGGGTGTTGTCAAGACCATTATCCTTTTTCACTGGGGAGTGAAGGGTGGGAGGATTGTTGAGCAATTGTACTGTGGACATTTTAAACAAGATGTTCATAGTGTAAGAATAATGTTCAAATGGTAGAAATTCAAGTAGTGTGACTACATAACAACGACTGAGAAAATTCTCTGACTGGGGAGAAATGATTCACAAAGACTGGGGTAAATGTTTTACTTCTGATACTGTATCTGCTTTCAATCTGTATTTCAATATAGGATTTTAAACCTGTGCTTCCCGAGAATTAACATTTTACACTTTCCTCAGGCTTTGTCCTACAGAGCTTGAGGTAGCAGATGTGATAAAACTTTCCCATACACTATTTTGATTCGGTAAGATATAGCTGGTGTTTGCAGTCAGCATCTGCCAGTGTTACACTGAGCCCAAACAATAAAAAATAGTCTGATTGGGATAGTATGACAGAGAAACCTGGAATACTGGTGATTAGGAACCACTTCTTATGTCATTGACATCAAGTTCTTTAATGTGTGATACCAGTGAAAGTCTATGTATTTGTTTAATCTCTAGCTACATCAGCAAAGTGGATGTGTTGAATATTTTGGTTGCTGCTGCCTACCGTCCAATACCATCTTTGGATCAGATTCTTCTCCCAGCAGCAGTAACTAGATTAAGAAATCAGCTTCTGGAAGCAGAGTACTATCAACTAGCTATAGAGGTAATGCCAATGGGGGGATACCGGTGTTAATGCTTCCATAATGGCTTTTGTTCTTTTCCCCCCGAATTCAGACGGATGTGATGTGTGAGACAGTTAAACAGTTACAAACTGGGATTAAGTTTTTAAACAAGGAAGAAATAATTCTCTGAACACTGGAAGAAAATTTGAAAGAAGGAAAAGTCCTGATGTGGAGCAGGCTGCAGAAGGGAAGGGCAGGGGTTTGGTTTCTGGATACAATTAGGATTGGAATGGGCTAACTGCAATGAAGTCATTAAATGGAGAAATCTTTCATCCAGTAGAAGGGATGAGACATCCTTTGTGGCAGGACTTTATCTGAAGCTTGTAGGTTTGATTTTGTTTGTCTGTAATGCCACAGCAGACATTGGTAAGGCACTTTTCACAAATGCCACAGCAGACATTGGTAAGGCACCTTTCCTGAGCATTTACTTGGAAATCAGTAGTACTGGCAAATCTATCAGTCAGAGCTCATCTGGTGTGGTTTATATGCCACAGCAGACATTGGTAAGGCACCTTTCCTGAGCATTTACTTGGAAATCAGTAGTACTGGCAAATCTATCAGTCAGAGCTCATCTGGTGTGGTTTATTCTGTCTTCCTTGGAAATCAGTAGTACTGGCAAATCTGTCAATCAGAGCTCATCTGGTGTGGTTTACTATCTTCTGTCTTCCTCCTCCCAGGATTTCGCAAGTCTCTATTTTATGGCATTGCAATTTGTTAGGTACAGGATTATGATACCACAAACAGGATTATGATTTTTAAGGGATAATAAACAGCAAGAATAGATTGTCTTTTTGAATAAAAGCAGTTGATGTTTAAAAGCAGCTATTCTGTCTACTAAAGAAAATCAGGAATAAATTTTATCAGTAAAGTTGTGGGCAATAAAAAACATCCTGGTGGTTCATGAAGCATCTTCTGTTGCTTTTTTTAAGAACCACAAACCTGATGAATTCTGCTCTGTAAAAATCATTTGTTTCAGAAAAGTGGGTGTGAAAATGTCCTATTTTAAAATGGGTGAACTGAAATTTCCCACATAAACGGTTGTTGTACAATAAAACAGTGCTTCCACATTTGGAGGTCACGCGTCTTTTGGTACTCGGCCTTTTGTGCCAGTACTGTGGAAACAGTCAGCACTGGGTTTTGCTGTGATTTGTTAGCTGTTGTTTGTTATTAATGGGAAATGTGCTCTGGGAAGTGAAAGGTCACGATCACAGACTGTGTGATACACCAGTTTTGCTATTTTCTGTGCTGGGACTGTGTTGCAATATTAACAAATGATTTTGAATTTAGGTTTCTACAAAATCTGGGTTGGATCCAGGTGGAGCATGGCATGCCTGGGGCATGGCTTGCCTTAAAGCTGGAAATTTAAGTTCAGCAAGAGAGAAGTTTAACCGATGTTTAAAACCACCCATGGATCTAAACCAGCTTAACCATGGCTCAAGGCTGGTCCAGGATGTGATACAGTACCTGGAGTCCACAGTGAAGCCAATACTCATTGCAGTAAGAATCTTCTCCTCTGCCTGCTCTGAAGGGCTATGACAAAGCCAAGTATTGATGTTTTAACACATGTGGTATAGCAATGCATGTTACCATATCAGGTGTTAGAGTTTTTTTCCTTCTTTGTCATGATTGCATGTTGCACACTGAATATTGCTGAGAAATTTGTTAGCTGTTTCATCACAGTGCAGTGGTGACTGAGAACCAGATTATAGGATTTTATAGTCATTTGGGGCATACTTCATTGAGGAGAAAGAAGCTGTACTGGTTAACGTGTTATTACTACAGTCTGAGGGAACCAAACTCAATCCCAACAATACGTTGTGGTGCTGCAGTGATGCAGTTTTTCTACTGCAACTCTGATAACTTTACAGGAATTCAAAGGAGAATTTCCAATGCTGTCCCACTCGTATTTTCTCATCAAAACCCGCTGTTGTATGGTATGGAACTAGCTCTGGAAGTTCTCATTAGGTACCAAAAAATTACTTTTAGTACTAAGTAACTGTAGAATCACAATGATGAAAGACCACTCAGTAGAACATATTTTAGGAGAACAAAAAAGCCTGCTTGAATTAGATTATTGAAATAGCTGTTGACAGTGGAATTGTGTTTTTAAAAGCCTCCTATCTATCTGTCCTTGGAAACAGCAATGCTGGCTACAGCAACATTCAGCACCTCTGTTGATACCAGAGGTTCTAGTCTAGTGTTTATGAAAAGCATTGCTGAATTCTCACCCCTCTAAACCAATGTCTGTTTTAAAACCAACAGTAACAGGTCTTGTCACTCAGACCTGAAGCATTTCTATCTGAAAAGAAAGTTTTCCTCTTACTTACCATGTGCCTTTGTCTCTCTGTGTTAATGGCAGGATGATGATTACTTTGCCACATTGAGAGAACTTGAAGCAACACTGAGAACAAGAAGTCTGTCTCTGGAGATGATGTGTGAGGGGAAGATTCAACACAACAGCTACTATCAGGAGTGCTTGTTCTATTTACATAGTTATGGCACTAATCTGGCCATAATAAGCTTTTACATGAGGCATGACTGTATGAGAGAAGCACTGCTTCACTTGTTAAATAAGGTGAGTAATTTAATTTGCCATCATTTAAACTGAAATTTGAAAGATGGTAATGATCATCATGCAGCATTCTGGGTGTGTCTGCACAGGAGCTTTTGAGGACCTAAATGTTGTTATACTGACAAGAATTCAGTGACATGAAAAGATAACTTCAGTCTTTACATCTTGTGTTTAATCTCTCTTCCCCATTGGCTTGAAATGGGAGTTTCTAGAGGGGAGAATGTGCCTTTTTTTTTTATATATTTTTTGATATAGAGGTCCTGTGTCAACAGCACTTTGTTTTTTTCTACAAAGCTGAGCACCTGGGGCTATTGTCATAGAGTTCAGAAGAGAGAAGGAAAATTTTGAATTCCAACATGCTGATAACACTCGGTGCTTTCTCTCTATCACTGTCCCTCTCTTGGAGTTGTTTGTTGAATCACACACCCACATTTCCACTTCTATAGCCATCAGGAATGTAAGGGAACACAGAGCACAGAAATCTAGTGAAACCCAAAAGTGGTTTCCATTTCTCCCTTAAGAAAAATTCATAATATAGGCAGGCTTAAGAATTTCTGGAGTAAACAGTTCTATTGGTGCTAAATTTAAAATTAAACCTAGAAATTATTCCAAGAAGGTTCTTACTAATTCCTTAAGGATGCTGCTTAGGAGATATGAATCCATTGCATCTCCCCAGCTTGTGTGGAGCAGGTCTATTTGTTTCCTTTAAGTTTCTGTGCTTCTGTTTGATTTACTGATTATATTTTTATTATTTGAAATAACTCTTATTAAGAATGTACAGCTTGAAACACCAAGTTCCATTATCTTCATCTGCTTATGAGCTTTGTTGATAGAAAATTAAGTTGCCATATCAGTTCTGCATTCTCATTGTCTCTGATGTCATTTCATCAGTCATTCTAAGCTCATATGCTCATCTGCATATTAAGTTTGCTTTTCAAGTGTGTCCTTTATATAAATCAGCTTTTAAAGAAAAGTTGCGTACTTTTGCAGTGTCGGTGACATAGTTTCACTGGTTAAGTAGCAGACTTAGAAATACTCTTGGACATACAAATTTATGTGAAAGTTTTGAGCAAGGAGACTGGTAATGATCATGCAAACTGGAGAGGAGGGTTTGTTACCCTAACACTAAGGTACTAAGCTTCTGATGAATCAGTTTGCAGTTGATTGCTTGGAAACATTTTATGTGTACAGGCTTGATATTTGTATCTTACTCTGAGATTTAAAAAAAAGAAGTTAAAAAAGAAGTACATATCAAGTCTTTAAAGCATCTACCAGGCCAAGTTGACACATACTGATGTTACTGTGGAGAGAAGCACATATGAGGCTGCACTTGCAAGACCACAGTCAAGTGGTCAAGGGAAGTAAATAGCCTCTCAGCTTACTACTTGTGAGGTTTCATCGGAACTACTGTGCTCAGTTTTGGGCTCCTGAGTACAAAACAGATACTGTCAAAGTGGAGCAAGTCTAATGGAAGTCCACCAAAGTGGTTAGGGGCCTGAAGCACATGGTATATGAGGAGAGTGATAGAGCTAGGTTTTTCCAGCTGGAGGAAGAGAAGGCAAGAGGAGATTTCTCTGCTGTTTTCAGTTACTAAGAGGATGATTATAGGCAAAATAGAGCCATGCTTGTCTCACATGTGTACAGTAAAAGGGTGAGAGAGAGTGGAGACTGTTTGCAGCAAGGGAAATTGCAACTGGATGTGAAGAAAGATGAGTTCAGTGCGTGTATTCAGCCACAGAGAGGCTGTTGAATCACCCTACTTTGTCATGCTCAGAACTTGACTGGGCAGACCCAGAGCAGCATGACCTACCTTGGAAGTCATTCTTTGAGTGGTGTTTTAAACAAAATAGCCTCCAGAGATCCCTTCCAATCTAAATTATTTATGAATTTTATGATCTGTGTCACTTAATACTCATTTATGTTACATAAGGAAAATAAACAAGCTCCAGTGGCTTTGCTTCAAGCTACTTTCTGTTTGTGTAGGAATCCCCATCAGAAGTGTTTATTGAAGGGATCTTCATTCCAAGTTATGAAAGTGGAAAACTGCATATGTTGGAGAACTTGCTGGAAACCATTGATCCAGGATTGGAGAGCTGGGGAGTCTACTTGATTGCAGCCTGCAAATACTTGCAAAGGAAGAACTACTACCATATTCTGTATGAGCTGCAACAGTTCATGAAGGTAAGTTGAGGGACAGTGCCATCTCTTTCAGTGAAGTGCTGAATACTGTCAGACTTTTGGTTATTTACTTTGGTGTCCCCATGATGGACAAGTATATTTTTGCTACTTTACAATCCTAGAAATTAGAAAGGCCTGAGCCTCACTGAAGCTGAACTGCTGTGCATTTGTCATGGAACTGATGCACTGTGGTAGCTTTACTACTGATTTAAAGAAAACAGAACATTGCCTGCTTTGTGTGAGCACTTCAGTGCAGACAGTGGTTAGTGAAGTTGGTGTATGTTGGTCTGTTTTAGTGTTTGGTATATTTCTTCTCTAGGATCATGTCCGTGCTGCCATGACCTGCATTAGATTTTTCACTCATGGAGCCAAGTCTTACACTGAACTGGGAGGAAAACAGACATGGCTTCTAAAGATCAAGGACCATCTCAAAGTCTATCTGCAGGAGGTTTCAAGAAGTTCAGGAAGGAAAAAAATGGCATTCACTTTTCGGAAGAAAATGTCTGCTACAGATGTGTCAAGGTATCTATAAACAAGAAACTAAGTTGTAGAAGAGGGGAAACTCAGGCTTTAGACTTTTTTTTTCTTGGTTTCATTTTGGTTGGCTTTAGCTAACACAATGCTGATTGTGTCTGACCCACTGACTTCTATGCAGTTGTAAGTATAGTATTCACCTTTTGCCCCAAAACCCCAAACCAGGAGAAGAGCAATTGTTTTTGCCTAAAAATGTGTGTATCAGATTACCTTCCTTTAATTTAAAAAGTACCCCTACAGACAGTTATAGCAATCTACAAGTTGGGGTGTGGGGTTTTTTTCTCTTCCTTTCCTCTCCACAAAGCAAGCAGCTTTGTGGTGTTTTCAGTCTCTATGAGGGTTATCTCACAACATTCAATTGTGTTGGTGCTTGAGATAACTGAACCCCTATATTCAAAAGTCAAAGGGTAAATTTAGCCAGGTCTCTCTTGTACTAGAGTTTTGTGTCTTGGTTTTCTTAGGGGCTTATTTCTTTCTTTTTTCTTTAGGCTAGACTGTAACTTAGCTTAAACCTGGGGGGAGTGTGTGTAATGAGGTGGAAAAGCAGAAGAAGATAGTTATTTGGGGTCCAGGTTCTCTGACTCACTTCCTTGAAATAAATTGTTCAGCTTCAGCTTGTGATGCATGTTAAGTGCACAGATCTGAGAAATAATCTAATTGATGAGAACTTGGCTATACAAAAGAAAACATAAATATGTTTTCTCTTTAAATGTGTTCAAGAATTCAGTAAGTTCACATAAATAGTAATTGACACTTTCTCTATTTCAAAATAAAGTCAGACTTTTTTCTCTCTTTAGGCACATCAATACAGTTGATCTGCAGATGGAAGTAACAAAGTTCCTGCATCAGTGTGAGAGCTCAGGAACCTCTCAAATGACAAGCTCTTCCTTGCCCACACTCTTTGGAAACAATAACATGAAAATGGATGTTGCTTGCAAGGTACTTATGGCTGTTTCAAACACAGGTCTCTTTTTCATCAGAAATACTAACTTGACATGCAGGTTGAGGCATTTGGTGGTTGGAGTAGCCTCTTGTATTTTTCATGGGCAGGTTACTTATTCATATATGCAACCCATTGTTTATGAAAAATTCATATTTTTCCTCAGAGTAGTAGAGAACATGTGAGAACTTGGAGCTCTTCTGCTCAAAGTTCAAATTTTCAGAGGCAGGGGTTCCCAAATACAAATAGTAATATGTCTTTTGCCTATACATCCTATTCTATTTTGAAGCAAGGCAAATATTTCTGTTATTCTAACCATTCTTAACTTCAGCTCTTCTCCATCTGTAACTTGCCTAATGTCCTACGGGGAATTAGCATATATATTTGCTGAACTTGTTGGGATGATGCTGTTTTCTGCTGAAGTAATGCCTCTTCTGGCCTCTGGGCAAAATCTGGATTTGCATTAATCTTATTAAACTGTGTGTAATGAAAAAGGAATGTGCATCCCTAGATTTGTCTGTGCTTCTCTTTTCAGGTCATACTGGAAGGCAAAAACATTGAGGAGGGGTTTGGGATTGCATTTAGAGTTCTCCAGGTATGGAAAACCTTACTATAACAAGCATTGTTATTACAAAGTAACTCCTGCAAGTAGAAGCAATTGTTTAAGCTGAAGACCCCTTTTTTCTTTTTTTTCTTTTTTTTTTTTTTGAAAATGTATCTTGATGCTCAAAAAGAAAAACTTATTGTGAGAAAAGTCACAAGTTCAAGTCTTATATGGCACTTTTTTTGGAGAAAGCTTGGTAAGGAAATTAAGATGCTGCTTCAGTAGGACATATCCAAGCTAATTGGCTCCTACAAAGGATTAAGTACAGCTTTTCCTTTGCTGTGCACCTTTTTCAATGTCTTAACTCTGGCAAACTGCAACCATAGATGTGTGCAGAGAGTTCTGACACGGTAGCTCTCTGCAGTTTGTGACAGCCATGCAAAGACACAGTGAATAAATAAGACAAGGGCTCTCTACTATCCTTCTGACTTGAGAGAGCAAAGCTAAATAACTGGAGACTCTCTGGGGACCTCTCCTTCCTCATGTCTGGGTAGAAGTTGAGTGTTTCTCATCCATACAGTCCCACACGGTAGAGGAGAGCCGCTTGTGGTAAGAGGTGGCACACTGAAAGAGTATTTATGGATGTGGCAAGTCCTGCTTCTTCCTCCGAGTCAGGATGTGCCAGGCAGAACTCCAGTTTGCAGTGAGATGGAGCACCTTAGAAAAATAGCACTTCCTAGGAGCAACAGTCACTACCCCCCAGTAAAAGTGGAGCAGCAAGTCCAGCTGCTTAGCGTCACTTCTGTTTCAGTACTTGTTTTTCCTTGCCTTACTCATGGCAGGTCAGTCTCTTCCTTTGTATGGGAGGTGTATGCTGGTCAGTTGCCTTCTGGTTCGTGGGGTACACCAGGGATGATTGCTGGTGGCTGGCTGGAGAAATATAGTGGGAACATACTAAGTGAGGGAGAGATGGGTAGGGACCTAGGAAAGATCTTTCTGCAGAAGAAATAAAACTGGTTTTTTGCCACACCTGAAAAGAAGGCAGTAACAGTGCAGCTGTTCTTAAGCAAAATTGATTTTTACTAGTCTGATTATAGAAAACATTTAAGCCAACCCTGAGCAGTGGTGACTGGAAAATCAGAAGCCCCCAAAACAGCTTTGACATTTTGAAACATGGTGTGATATTTTGTCTTTAGGAGAGATTGTCTCAGTTGTATAGATTCCTTGTGAGAAAACCTGCTGAGCACATTTAACATGTTGCTCTGATGTTCCAACTCCCTCTAGGACTTCCAGCTGGAGGCTACAGAAGTGTACAGCAAAGTAGCCAAGCAGCTGGTGAAGCAGCAGAAGTACAGTGAGATCCGGCAGCTCCTGAAGTGTGTCAGCGAGTCTGGAGTGGCAGCAAAAAATGATGGGGATAACATTATCCTAAA